TAATATATGTTTTAGATAGCGGTTAAATCTAGAACTGCTATCTAAAATCTCGATTATTTGAAAATATTTTGATGTAAAATTATATATATATATATATATATATATATATATTCTAAAATATAATTTATATTAATTACTATAATATAAAATATATATTCCAAAATATAAGTTATTTTCATTTATATATATATATATATATATATATATTATAGAAATTAAAATAAATTATATTTTAGAATATATATATATATATATATAAATATAAATTATTTTCAAGTTGATAATTATTATTCTAATTTATGCAATATATATATATATATATAATTAATTTATAAGAGCGGTTAATATTTATTCTAATTAATTATTCATATATGTGTCACTTCTAAAAGAATATTACAATATCAAATAAAGTAAAAAATTAAAAAAATTTAATCATACAAATAAAAATTATATTTTACTACTTTCAACCATAATTCTATATATATTATTAATCTAATAAATACATAATTCTTTTTAAAACTATATTTAAAACTATAAATTTTATATAAAAAATTATAAAATTATATAGATATATTTTTTTAATTATATAATTATAATTTTTATAATATATAATTGATAAATAATTTTTTTAATTTTAATATAATATATATTTTTATTTATAAATTTTTAATATATATTTGAGAAATTAATAAATTATAATCTATTATTTGAAAAACTAATAAATTCTAATCAATTATTTAAAAAAACTAATCGATTATAATTAATTATTTGAAAAAATTATCGACTATAATCGATTATTTGAAAATTTAATCGATCAGAATGGGCGTTGGACATTTATATATAATAGTGATTCCACGTTAACCGCTATCTAATATAGTTTTAGATAGCGGTTAAATCTAAACCGTTATCTAAGATCTCGATTATTTGAAAATATTTTGATGTAAAATTATATATATATATATATATATATATATATATATATTCTAAAATATAATTTATATTAATTACTATAATATAAAATATATAGTCCAAACTATAACTTATTTTCATTTATATATATATATATATATATATATAGAAATTAAAATAAATTATATTTTAGAATATATATATATATATTAAATATAAATTATTTTCAAGTTGATAATTATTATTCTAATTTATGCAAAAAAAAAAATATATATATATATATATATATATATAATTAATTTATAAGAGCGGTTAACATTTATTCTAATTTATTCTAATTAATTATTCATATATGTGTCACTTCTAAAAAAAATATTACAATATCAAATAAATTGAAAAATTAAAAAAATTTATTCATACAAATAAAAATTATATTTTACTACTTTCAACCATAATTCTATATATATTATTAATCTAATAAATACATAATTCTTTTTAAAACTATATTTAAAACTATAAATTTTATATAAAACATTATAAAATTATATAGATATATTTTTTTAATTATATAATTATAATTTTTATAATATATAATTGATAAATAATTTTTTTTAATTTTAATATAATATATATTTTTATTTATAATTTTTTAATATATATTTGAGAAATTAATCAATTATAATCTATTATTTGAAAAACTAATCAATTCTAATCAATTATTTAAAAAACTAATCGATTATAATTAATTATTTGAAAAAATTATCGACTATAATCGATTATTTGAAAATTTAATCGATCAGAATGGGCGTTGGACATTTATATATGATAACGGTTCCACGTTAACCGCTATCTAAAATATGTTTTAAATAGCGGTTAAATCTAGAACCGCTATCTAAAATCTCGATTATTTGAAAATATTTTGATGTAAAATTAATATATATATATATATATATATATATATATATTCTAAAATATAATTTATATTAATTACTATAATATAAAATATATATTCCAAAATATACCTTATTTTCATTTATATATATATATATATATATATATTATAGAAATTAAAATAAATTATATTTTAGATATATATATATATATATATATTAAATATAAATTATTTTCAAGTTGATAATTATTATTCTAATTTATGCAATATATATATATATATATATATATATATATATAATTTATAAGAGTTGTTAATATTTATTCTAATTTATTCTAATTAATTATTCATATATGTGTCACTTCTAAAAAAATATTACAATATCAAATAAATTAAAAAATTAAAAAAATTTAATCATACAAATAAAAATTATATTTTACTACTTTCAACCATAATTCTAAATATATTATTAATCTAATAAATACATAATTCTTTTTAAAACTATATTTAAAACTATAAATTTTATATAAAACATTATAAAATTATATAGATATATTTTTTTAATTATATAATTATAATTTTTATAATATATAAATGATAAATAATTTATATTAATTTTAATTTAAAATATATTTTTAGTTATAATTTTTTAATATATATTTGATAAATTAATCATTATAATCTATTATTTGAAAAACTAATCAATTCTAATCAGTTATTTAAAAAACTAATCGATTATAATTAATTATTTGAAAAAATTATCGACTATAATCGATTATTTGAAAATTTAATCGATCAGAATGGGCGTTGGACATTTATATATGATAGCGGTTCCACGTTAACCGTTATCTAATATATGTTTTAGATAGCGGTTAAATCTAGAACTGCTATCTAAAATCTCGATTATTTGACAATATTTTGATGTAAAATTATATATATATATATATTCTAAAATATAATTTATATTAATTACTATAATATAAAATATATATTCCAAAATATAAGTTATTTTCATTTATATATATATATATATATATATATATAGAAATTAAAATAAATTATATTTTAGAATATATATATATATTAAATATAAATTATTTTCAAGTTGATAATTATTATTCTAATTTATGCAATATATATATATAATTAATTTATAAGAGCGGTTAATATTTATTCTAATTAATTATTCATATATGTGTCACTTCTAAAAGAATATTACAATATCAAATAAAGTAAAAAATTAAAAAAATTTAATCATACAAATAAAAATTATATTTTACTACTTTCAACCATAATTCTATATATATTATTAATCTAATAAATACATAATTCTTTTTAAAACTATATTTAAAACTATAAATTTTATATAAAAAATTATAAAATTATATAGATATATTTTTTTAATTATATAATTATAATTTTTATAATATATAATTGATAAATAATTTTTTTAATTTTAATATAATATATATTTTTATTTATAAATTTTTAATATATATTTGAGAAATTAATAAATTATAATCTATTATTTGAAAAACTAATAAATTCTAATCAATTATTTAAAAAAACTAATCGATTATAATTAATTATTTGAAAAAATTATCGACTATAATCGATTATTTGAAAATTTAATCGATTAGAATGGGCGTTGGACATTTATATATAATAGCGATTCCACGTTAACCGCTATCTAATATAGTTTTAGATAGCGGTTAAATCTAGAACCGCTATCTAAGATCTCGATTATTTGAAAATATTTTGATGTAAAATTATATATATATATATATATATATATATATATTCTAAAATATAATTTATATTAATTACTATAATATAAAATATATAGTCCAAACTATAACTTATTTTCATTTATATATATATATATATTATAGAAATTAAAATAAATTATATTTTAGAATATATATATATATATATATATATTAAATATAAATTATTTTCAAGTTGATAATTATTATTCTAATTTATGCAAAATATATATATATATATATATATATATATAATTAATTTATAAGAGCGGTTAACATTTATTCTAATTTATTCTAATTAATTATTCATATATGTGTCACTTCTAAAAAAAATATTACAATATCAAATAAATTGAAAAATTAAAAAAATTTATTCATACAAATAAAAATTATATTTTACTACTTTCAACCATAATTCTATATATATTATTAATCTAATAAATACATAATTATTTTTAAAATTATATTTAAAACTATAAATTTTATATAAAACATTATAAAATTATATAGATATATTTTTAATTATATAATTATAATTTTATAATATATAATTGATAAATAATTTCTTTCAATTTTAATATAATATATATTTTTATTTATAATTTTTAATATATATTTGAGAAATTAATCAATTATAATCTATTATTTGAAAAACTAATCAATTCTAATCAATTATTTAAAAAACTAATCGATTATAATTAATTATTTGAAAAAATTATCGAATATAATCGATTATTTAAAAATTTAATCGATCATAATGGGCGTTGGACATTTATATATGATAACGGTTCCACGTTAACCGCTTTTAAAAGTAACATATAATAGCGGTTCCACGTTAACCGCTATCTTAAATATATTTTAGATAGCGGTTAATGTGGAATCGCTATTAGTATGTTACTTTTAAGAGCGGTTAAGATGTTAACCGCTCTTAAAAGTGACACATATATGAATAATTAATTAGAATAAATTAGAATAAAGGTTAACCGCTCTTATAAATTAATTATATATATATATATATTTATATATATATATATATATATATTTATATATATATATATATATATTTTGCATAAATTAGAATAATAATTATCAACTTGAAAATAATTTATATTTAATATATATATATATATATATATATATATATTCTAAAATATAATTTATTTTAATTTCTATAATATATATATATATATATAAATGAAAATAAGTTATATTTTGGAATATATATTTTATATTATAGTAATTAATATAAATTATATTTTAGATATATATATATATATATATATATATAATTTTACATCAAAATATTATTTCTTCTTATCTAGGTAAATAAAACCTACAGTATGCTATTTGAGTAATTAAAAAACGAATACGTGCTAATGTAGAAAAAAATTTCGAATAACATGCATGAATAACACGAGAGAAGGAGGTAAGTCATGAACAGAAGTCACGGGCTGTACATGCAGAGGTCACGGGCTGTACAACCAACTTCAAGTGTTCACAGCTTCACGTGTTCACAGCTGATAGAACTTGAACCAAAGCCCGTAGTTATAAAACTTATTCTTTCTTCTCTAGTTACAGTTGATAGGGAAATTTATTGTATTATATAAAGCAAAGCTAGTCTCATAAGACTAGCTAAAAGACTCTATTCCATATGCCAAAACTTGGAGTGGGACTTCGGTTCGGAAACATTCTTTACTTCACAAGAGTCTCCCACCAATCAGAGAAGTGACTTGACACAGTCAAAGAGAAGAGGATAGTTTGATCCCAGATTGAACCGAAGCCTACTTCCTTTTTCTTGGGATCTTTCTCTTTCTTCCGGGAAAGGGAACAACACCCTACTATGTTCTCACTTAACCCTTATGAGTCGTGTTCTCAGTTAGCTCCTGTCAGTTGCACTGAGTTTTGAGTTGCCTTCGTGAGCGTGTTTAAGATCCTCGTCTTCTCCAACTTCTGTCTTTGTTAGAGCTCCTTGGAACCATAGGTAAGCGTCTCCTTTCCTTTCAACCATGACTGCCTCGTCGTTCTAGCGCCAAACTCTCCTCCAGTTGCCACCTCTCCGGCCGCCATGGTGGGCCTCGTGGGTGCAGCTGCAGTCGTGTGCATGCATGAGAAGAGGTCCATAATCCCCCTCCACAATCAGCTATGCATGACGACAATAATCTCTGCGTGGCGCATGGTAGGAGCCAAAAAACAGCTCCACGACAACCTCTGCATGGCCATCTCAGGCGGCGATGTGGTTGTGCCCTTGTTTGGAGCCCCATAAACGTGGATCCATGGTTTGCCATACGTGAGATTCATTTGTTTGTATTTGTGTTGTAGGTTGGATCTTCACCGGCGGCCATCAACTTCGGTGTGACCTTGTCCCACCAACAACTTGCTTGGTATCTTGTCGGAGGAACACCCCAGGTATGGTTCTGTGTCTTCTCTGTCATGGTTGGAACCTCAAACTTGGTTGGTACGTTTGTTTTTGGAGTCTGTGTGCATGCATAAGAGTGTGTGTGACCATTCAGATTTGAGGTATAAAACATGGCCAAACCTCCTCCACTCCAACAAAAAATGGGCACCATACGACCATGGTTTCTGACTTGTGCATTGGTTATGTTGTTGTTGCAGGCTGTATCTTAGGGGCACCGTCAAGTTCGCCGTCAGCTTGTCCTACAAAGAGCTTCGTTCATATCTTCTCCCACATGTATGGTTCATATGTTGTTTTCCATGGTTGCAACCTGAAACCGGTTCTACTCGGTGTTGTACTCCATGCATGGTTGAGGTAAAAATTGGTAGTTACTGCATATGCATCTTGGAAGCAAAAATTGGGAATGATGGAAGCAAAAATTGGAACGAAAAACTGGAACCAAAATCCCTGTTTTTACAATTATAATTATTATATGGAAATTTTGAATTTTTTTATATATACTGAAAAGAAAAAAATAATTGAGAGATACATGAAAAAAATTTAGTAAAAATTAGGACAGACAATATTAATGCATAATTAAATAAGGAAAAAAATGTTAAATATAGTTATATTGCAAAAATAAATGTATTATTTTTATAATAAATGGAGTATGTAAAATTGAGAAAAGAAAACAATTTATAAAAATGAGAATTTGTTAAAAAAGAAATAAAAATAATAGAGGAAAAAAATTATTAGTAGTTTTGTAAATAATTTTTGGTTTTGTGATACTTGGTTTGCATATGACAATTTTGAATTACTTCCATTAAACATTAATTATTTATATATATATATATATATATATATATATATATATATATATATTTTGCAAATGGCAGACAAAAACATCGAGGTCATTGGTTTAGACAATGACGATATAGATACTGGTCTGGATATAAACATAATTTCACATATACAAAGTGAGATAAAAAAGCGAAGCGAAGTAGGAGCGATGACAATTCTTTGTTTGATAGCTTATGGATTAAATATGTTGTCTATGGTAACTTGTAGTAGCGATAACATTAGGGACTTTATTTCTGAAAAAGAACGCCATCGGCACGAGTTGATGTCATACCTTATTCATACTGAACAATCTCGTGACATTATTCGCATGGGACCGAAGGCGTTCATTAACTTGTGTCAACGAGTAAGGACAACTGGATTAGTAAACGATGGGTTACAATCAACAGTGGAAGAACAAGTAGCTAAATTTCTCCATATTATCGGACATAACGTTAAAAATCGAACTGTTTCATTTTTTTCCATCGATCAGGTGAAACCGTTAGTCAACACTTTCATAACGTGTTGAATGCGATAATAATGTTGGACGAACAATTAATTGTTCAACCATCAAGGAGGGATGTGTGTCCGTATATATTAAACAACAACCGATTTTACCCATATTTTAAGGTAATATACTTACCAACTTTGTGTCTATATAACATACACATAGATTGTCTAAACTTTAATGATAATAAATTTTTTTACCAATTAGGATTGTTTAGGGGCAATAGATGGAACTCTTGTTCAAGTTAAAGTCGCAAGATCCGATGCCCCTCGTTTTCGTGGAAGAAAAAATTGACCAACACAAAACGTATTTGCAGCTTGTGATTTTGACATGAAATTCACATATGTTCTAGCAGGGTGGGAAGGAACAACATCTGATTCAAGAATATTAAAGGATGTTCTTACGAGAGAGGATCACCTTATCATACCACAAGGTTTATTATTTATAACGTGGGAATTTTGTGTATAGTCAACTAGTTTAAATATTCTAATTAGTAGAACTTCAATGATTTTAAATAGGTAAATACTACTTGGGGGATGCTGGATTTATGTTAAAAGCAAACATAATGACCCCTTATCGAGGCATTAGATACCACCTTAAAGAGTATTCTCGACGAGCTCCACAAAACCCCCGAGAATTATTTAACCATCGACATTCGTCTCTTAGAAATGTAATTGAAAGAACATTTGGAGTTTTGAAGAAAAGATTTCCTATAATAGCTAGTGGAACAGAGCCTCATTATTCATTTGATACAATGACGAATATAGTCATAGCATGTTGCATTCTACACAATTTTCTTCGAGGGATAGACAACGATGAATCACTGTTAGCTGAAGTGGATCGAGAGTTGATGGAACAAGATGTGGATAATATGTCGACTCAAGTTCGGGAAGAGGATTATAGGGAAGGGTCAAACTTAAGAGATACTATAACAAATCAAATGTGGATAGATTATCAAAGTCATTAGATTTTGTATGTAACAATATATTTAATGAGATGTACTATTATTATTGTTGAAATACGATTACATTACGATTATCTATTTATAATAATTATATGTTGGTATCGTAATTACATATATTATCTTTCCAATAGGTTTAAAATGAACAGAGGAAAGGATATTGCACCGAATTTGTCAACTGTAGTGCACGAGTTTACAAAATGGACTGATGACATGGACTTTCGGTTGTTGACTGCTATGCTTCATGAGGCAAGGTTGGGTAATCGGGTTGATGGTAGTTGGACAACCCAAGCATATAATAATATAGTTGAATCCCTAAGACAGTTTGGATTAATTGGTATAACTAAAAATAATGTTAAAAATCGATAAAAAAGTCTTAAGGATAGATGGCGGGAGGTCCACGATTTGTTTCATGGACTTAGTGGATTCGCTTGGGATGATATCACAAAACGGTTTATGGCTGAGCAAGAAGTATGGGATGACCTAATCAAGGTACTATTATATGAATTATCATTTGTTGATATAGCAAAACATAATAATTACAAGTGTTAACCATTCTCATTAATTTGTAGGCGTAGCCTTCTGCAGCTAAATGGAAACTGTCAACTATAAGGTATTATGATTTGATGGAAGAATTGTGGGGTGCTGATCGAGCCACTGGACATATGGCAAGAACTTCACGTCAGTCCCGAATGAATATCAGTTCTCGAAGGGCAACAGTCGACTTGAACGTTGATGTGGACCCTACACCAGAGGAGCAGCCATTTCACTTTGGCTTTGATGCAGGATTTGATACAACTTATCGATCACCTCCACGCATGGGTTCCGACAGTCCTGCTGAGGGTGCTCAGTCATTGCCATATGTTGCGTCTACTGGTTCAGGTGGAACCTCTTCATCTCGGGGCACAAAAAGAAAAACGCCTATGTTTGATGTGATGGAAGGTCAATTTGACAAACTAACAATGAGGCTGGACACATTTACAGATTACCTTGGGCAAGGTAATACATTGACCCCACGATTATCTGACATAGCTAAAAGACAGGTGGTCGCCATTGAACGCAGAAATGATTTAATTAATGAGCAAGTTAATGTGATGAGACGATCATCAACATTTCAACATTTCGAGTCAGATATATGGAACATGTTAGTCGGCATGAACCTAAATGATGAGCAACTTATGCTTCAGTGTTATAATCATTTGTGTACTCACGAATCACATGTTAGACGACTTTTTGGCTTGCCCTCACATCTTCGTCTCTCCCAGTTGTTCATGTTCTTGGGTGGAAGTGATTGAATGATCTGCTATAAAGATCTGAAAATACTTTAAGATTTATTCAGGAGCTCTTCGATGACAATGAATTTGGCAGACCTACTCGACAAACCTTTCGACGAGATACTGCTATTGAAGTACATTCTGACGAGTGAACTTCTGAACTCGAGGACTTGGCTGCAAATGATCGATAACATTATAATTATTTGTTTGAAGAACATTAGTGTGCATATGTTTATAATTTTAGTAATGTTTGTCAAATATCTAATGTCTATATTAATTAATATTATTTGATAATTAAAATTTATGATATGTAATTCTAATATATTTATATATATATATATATATATATATATATATATATATATTTTATGTTGAAAATATAAAAATATGACAAAAATATATATTAATATAATTTTTAACTAAATAATAAAATATTTTTACTGTTAAGTTTACATGAATTTTTCATTTAGTTATTATTCTATTTTCACTACATTTTATAATAATTTAAAATAATAATTTAAAATAATAATTTACAATTATATTATTAGTTTTCATAACTATTTGTTATTATTAGTCAATATTAATTATTATTTTATATTTTATAATTATTTAATTATTAGTCAAATAATTTATTTAATATGTCAAAATTATTTTTTTATGAATATGCAATGTAAATAATTTTGTAATTGTTTATTTATATAATTTTTAATAACTATTTAAAAAAATTTAATTTTTTAAATTTGTTTCCACTTACAAACACTTTTAAATTTGTTTTTTCTTTTAAATATATAATCAATGTTAAAATATGGATAATTAATTAAAAAATTATATTTTTAATAATTTTAACCTTATTTTATACACAAGGGTAAAATGGTAATTTTCTTAAATAATCATATAAAATTATAACTTTTATATCTCATATTAATCAAATCACTCATAATTTTTCATAAATTTTTCTTTCACTTTCCATTTATCCAAACAACTTTAATTTCACCTCCATTTTTTCTTCAAATTCCTCCTTTTCCACACTCTCATTTCCACTCTCTCTAATCACTTCAACCAAACAAAGCCTAAGGGTCGAAGGACTTGGTGCCGTAGGAGTGTAGTGTGAGGGTAAATTATTCATCAGTTAATATTTTTCTCACTTCTATTAAAAAAATTATTCAATAAAAAACTTGTACTAAAATATTCTTATATGAGATTAAATTATATTTAAAAGTATTATCTATTTAAAAATGTGAGTAAATTGGATCTGATTAATTTATTGTGTGGTTGAACCAGTTTGATATGATATATTTTATAATAATTTTTATTGACATAAAATTAATATAAAAGCTAAATTCATATATTTTTAAAATCTAGTTAACTTTTAAATGTGGATCCATTAAAAGATAAAAGATAAAAGATATTTAACTCAAAATTTAATAATTGTGCATGACGACCTTTATAACATGGAGAGAAGAACATATGCACATAGAAGAAAAATTCTGAACGCATTATGTGAATGTCACTGTAACATAATCCATTAATATGGTAAAAGCATAGTAAATCGATCTGGCAATGTTAGTATTAAACCATTCATCTTTCAAAAAATAAAATTGTTGGAGACGGGCGACACTCTTCCAGATAAAAATAAAGAATAGTAAGCATTCATCTACTATTTCTTTTCTTCCTACACCACACCTCTTTCTTTCTTACACCTTTTATTTTTAATTCAATTTGCCTATATATATAATAGTAATAATATATTTCCATAAATATATAAATTAGAATGTACATTCCTAGTGTTTTTTAACACCTTTTAAAATAAATTTGACATATTTCGGATGATATGTTTAATAATATTTTAAATTCTTCATTTTAATATATATATATATATATATATATATATATATATAATATGATTAAATGATGTTTTTTTTAATAATTTTAAAATATGTACCATTATATTTGAATGGTCAATTCGAAAGACTTTTTAAATTTATTTTACATTTGATAGCTGTATATCATTGTATTTGAATAGTCAATTTCAAAAAAAAAATATTTTACATTTAATATTTTTATTATTATATTTGAATGTGTATTCGAAACACATTTGATATAAATCACATTATGTTTGATATTTTTTAGTATTATAATTTTGAAATACTTATTGTATTTTTTATTTTTTTAAGTATATATATTTTTTAATACAAAAGAATATTTTCATCTACCAAATATGCTAAACAGAAAGGGTAAGAATCTCTCTTAATATCTTTCATATTTTTCAACTAATACTTTTGGGAAAAAAAAGTGAATACTAAATATTGAGGAATATTATCATATGATAATACTTTTTATTTTCATTTTTATATTTATTATAGTATTGAAAGTCTATTTTTTCCTTTTCACTCACAATTTTTGTTAACAAATTATAAATTTATGTTTTATTTTAGTTTTTTTAATATAATAAAATTATGATAGTATATTTTTTAATATTATTTATTTATTATAATAATTTTAATACTGATTCTAATTTCAGCTTTTAAAAATACTGATGTGTTAAGAGTATTGTATATATATATATATATATATATATATATATATATATATATATATATATATATATATATATATATATATTTAAACAGGACTTTGGTAGACTCAACAAATGAGATATTGTATTATATCAAAGAAAAAAAAATGTTAGATTATTGTTATAAATATTGCTTGATGGCAAATAGAATAAAGAGTTTAATGTAGTAAACTTAGATAAAAAGATAACATCTAAAATTAACGAATTAAAAATTAAAGTAGTACATCTCAATATTACTTCAGTCAATCAAAATTCAAATAACTTTTTTGTGCATTTCACAAGACCAAGTTCATATCTAGATTAAATATAAGTTAAATGGTGGAATTTATACTGCATGTCAAATAACAATGTAGGATTCTTGAAATAAAAAATAGAATGTACGTTAACTTAATTTATGAGAAGGTTATTTCAATTACTTACATGTGAAACACTGTTTGATAACCAAGTTTCATCATCTGTCGTGTTCTTTTCCCTCTTCCCTCTCTAAAGTTGAGAGGTTACGTAAAGTCTTTTTCATGCTTGTGATGACAATGATATCCGCCAATATTTTGAAGTGTAATTTCAAAGAAAATTTAAAAGATCGTATAGATGTCTATCACACTACACGCATTTTGACAAATTTAAAGATCACTTAATCTTTGTATGAACAGTCATAATTTATGTGCAAGAGCACAGGGTAGTGCATGTACTAGTGACTCCAATTTTCTGTTTATAATATTATAAATAAGGTTCGACTCTTTGGAAAGTCCAGCAAATTTTTTTCAAGTTTCTAACAAGTCAAGATACACATCAATGGGTTGGATGTTGGAGAAGTTTATATGGGCATTTCTTATTGAGTGCACATTCCTTGCTGGTCTATCTCATTCTCATCAAGGTGATGCTTTGTTGTGAAGTACTACTTTTCATTTTCAGTTTCTTCTATTTTGTTGTTGTTGTGAGTTCCATATGGTTTGTTTTGTTCATGAACCTTTTACTCAAGATATCTTTATTTGAGTTGTTTGGATTGATGGTTAGGTGGGTAGTGTCTCTTTGGAACTCTTTTCAACTCATCCATTTTCTTTGATCTCTTATATCTTCTAATGTGTCCAAGCAGCTTCAAAGTACTCCTTTGTAAGAGAAGCAACATCTGCTCCACCGATCCTGTCTTATGACTACATAATCATTGGTGGAGGATCATGTGGGTGTCCCCTTGCAGCAACTCTCTCACAAGGTGCAAGAGTTTTAGTCCTTGAAAGGGGAGGTTCTCCTTACACAAATCCTGAGCGAATCCACCTAAAGAACTTTGTCAACTCCCTGGCAGATATAACCCCTTCATCATTTTCCCAACCGTTCCTATCCACAGATGGGGTTCTTAATTCCAGGGCTCGTGTCCTTGGCGGTGGCTCTGTCTTGAATGCAGGGTTCTATTCAAGGGCTAGCTCCGAGTACGTAAGGACTTCGGGTTGGAATGAATCTTTGGTTGAGGATTCTTATAAATGGGTTGAAAAGAAATTGGTTTTTGAGCCCCCAATGCTGCAGTGGCAATCAGCAGTGAGGGATGGACTGCTGGAAGTAGGTGTGTTGCCTTACAATGGTTTTACTTATGATCACTTAAATGGGACTAAGATTGGAGGGATAATCTTTGATAAGGACGGTAACAGGCACACTGCAGCTGATTTGTTAGAGTATGCTGATCCCAAGAGAATTGCTGTATATCTCCATGCCACAGTGCCCAAGATACTATTTAAGCATAACATAGGTATGGAGAAGAGAATGAGATAAAATGGATCATTTTTCATAAATTAAAAATTAACTCATCAATTTCAAATTTTGCATAGATTCTTGTTTTTTAAATGTATCAAAAATTGAGTTGTATAGGTTGATTTTAATTCCGGGAAGAAGATTGATTATTATTATTTTAAGAATAAGCACTTTAAGGTTGATCATAATATTTGAAAAAAAAAATTCTAACTTATAATATTTTTTAAAGTGCATAGTTTTATATAATTTGTCATTTTTACGGAGGAGACGTTGAGCACTTGTACGTCATCTTTTAATCTTTGGATGCCACTTGCTTCCATTTTTAGTGTTAAGCTTATATATTTATTAGACAGTTTCAATTATCTGTGAACTGATTTTGAGATGAAATATAAGAACCTTGAACTCTTTGTTTTTCTTATTGTAAGGTTGATGACAATGCATTTGAATATTTTTTCTATAGAAAAAAGAAGACCCGAAGCTTATGGAGTAATGTTCCTAGATGCAATGGGAGTTATGCATACAGCATACTTAAACAAAAATGCAAAGAATGAGATAATCTTAGCAGCTGGTGCAATTGGAAGCCCACAGTTGCTGATGCTGAGTGGAATTGGTCCTGCTAACCATCTGAAGGCTCATGGAATCAACGTGGTTTTGGATCAGCCATGGGTGGGTCAAGGGATGGCAGATAATCCAATGAATCTTCTGGTGGTTCCTTCCCTTTTGCCTGTTGAAGTCTCTCTGGTCCAAACAGTGGGCATCACAAAGTTTGGCAGCTTCATCGAATCAGGCAGTGGATTAAGATTAGGCTATTCTTGGTCTGAAAAGCTTCAAAGGATTTTTGAATTTGTGTCAAACCAGGTTAGTATCCGATATGCTGCTTGAATTCTGAAATGAAACAACAATTTGAGCTTTGTTCTAGTGGAATTTTTAATTAAAGGGATGAAAAAAAAATTAATAACATTGTTTCAATAGAAGTTATTTATTATTTGAAAAATATCCACGTGACACATTAAATGAGAGTTTGTTTAGATGGTAAAGATAAAAATTTTAATTACAAGGATTCATAATGAAACACTGGTGAGAATAAAGCACACAACGGTTTGCGCATAATTTCAAAGTAGTATCTTGCAAAATTTGTTTAACAAGTTTCATTTCCACAAGTTTCATTATTTTTTGCTTTTACATACTCTTTGGATGTCGTTTTCATTTTTACACTTTTATATAAAATTAGAATTTTTACTAATAAGGGTGATGTACTCTGAAATTTGTTCTGATTTGAAGTCTGGTCAGCCTTCCACGCTTTCCTCAGAAAACAAGCAGAGTGCTGCAGAGTTCGTTAGATTTTTAAACAGTCCAACTCTCAAAGGAGGAATCATAATTGAAAAGATAACGGGACCAAGATCCACAGGTCATTTGGAGCTCAGGAGCAGAAATCCCTATGATAATCCATCAGTTACCTTTAACTATTTCAAGGATCCAGAAGACTTAAGAATCTGTGTTGAAGGGATGAAAACCATCATTAATGTGATAAACTCAAAAGCATTATCAAAGTTCCGCTACCCTAACCTACCAGTCCAAGCTCTAATAGACTTCATGTTGCTGATACCAATGAACTTGAGGCCAAAACATGCTAATGCTGCTTTTTCTTTAGAACAGTATTGCATAGACACTGTGCTAACAATTTGGCATTACCATGGAGGGTGCCACCTTGGTAAAGTTGTTGATCATAATTACAAGGTTATTGGGGTCGAAGCTCTGAGGGTCATTGATGGATCCACTTTTTATCGCTCACCGGGGACTAATCCTCAAGCCACTGTCATGATGCTTGGAAGGTAAACATTAATTTGATAATCACAATAATAATAATAATAATACTTTAAGATGATTACTGTCTAACTCTTTCATTAATTTGATACAGGTATATGGGAGAAAAGATTATAAACAAAAGATCCTTCAGTGGCCAGAAAAGTGAAGGGATCAATTAAGTGCATATTTTCGATGTTTCTTATCGGTTTGTTCTGTAATAATATTTGGGTTATCACCTTGTTTTTCTTTTTAATGCTGTCTCTGTTTATCGGAGAACATATTATGATATATAACGTTGTTATTTCCGTATTATAATTGCATTTTGATATAATAAAGTTGTTGGAGAGAAATTGTTTAATACCCTTTTAAGTTACCAATATAATCACATATGATGGCACATTGAATTAAGATCACACAATATAATTTACATAAAACCTAAAAATACACGTCCTCTAAAAACGCATGGAGAAGTAAATTAAAAACGCTTTTATGTTGTATTTAAATATTATATAATATAATTAAATTTGGTTATTAAAAAAACTTTTAATTAAGTAAAATTAAGAAATGATTGATTGATGAAATTTCATTATACCTAAAAAATTTGATTATTCATACTTTACTAACTTTATGAACAGACATAAGATGTTGTTAGAAATGCAATCAAACTTTGCATTTTTCAAGCTTAATAAATGTTTCGATTAGATGTTTTGTTATAGTATTTCTCTTATTAAAAAATTATTTTATAACGTAATTAATTATATTTTATTATATAATTAAATATTAAAATTTCGGCATAAAATTAATTCTCATTAAACATGAGGTTGATAAATTTTTGTTAAGATAATAATAAAAAATATGCCAAGATAATAATAAAACATAAATAAACTCTAATTCTAATGACATGTTTAATTAATAGTATAAAAGTAGTTAATAGATATTTAAATCTAACTAATTAAATTTATTTTGTTTTTATATTTTTTTTACTTCTATTTTTTGTTTTAAATAATTTGTTTTCTCTTTTTCTACTTCTTCGAATCCGTCATTTGTTAAAATAAATCTAATCATATTAATTTATTCTCTGCATCACACTAATAATATTCATAAATTTCAAAATAGAGTGTAATTCGTAAAAGGGTATTTAGTGGAAATTATTCAAAGTTACTAAAAATAATTATTATTTTAAAGTGAATTTAATAATAAAAATGGTTTAAAAACGGTTGGAGATGAAAACGTCCAATGAGAAATTCTTAAAAAGAGTTATTTCATTATCTCCATTAAACAAGAAAAAATTGTTTATATAAATTTTTTATTTAATTTTAAATAATTATAAATGATATTTTAAATAAAAAAATATTTTTATCTATAAATAATTTTTGTAAATAATTTCTTTTAAAGATTAATTCTGGCTTATTTTAAGTGATTGACTATTAAATCTATATTAAAATAATATATTTTATTTTTAAAAATAATATAAATTTTATAAATAAATTTTACTTTTAAAAGTAATATAAATTTTACTTTAAATCATGTATGAAAAAAATATTTAAACTTCCAAAAAAATATTTATAAATAATTTTTTCTTTTGTTTTTTAAATAATTATTTTAGTAAATATAAATTAAACACTGATTAATAAAATAACATCTCAAGAGAAAATTCAAGATATATGAAATTTATTTAACAAAAAGGTTTTTTCTTTAAAATTATTAATTATGTGGAATGGAGTTTTGAAACATTAAAAGTCTATGCATCAGATTTACAGACGAATTTGCATGTTGGAACAAAAAGAATGGAAGTTACAATTTTTTATGCATAGAGATAACATATATTTCTATTTTTTTAAATTTTTTTTTTTCCACTCACTCAGAACCGCTTAATAATCAATAAAAGCAAAACCTAAATTGACGGTTAAAAATTGAAAAATGAAGGTGGAATTGCAAGATTTATTAGACGTAGAAAAGGAGACAAAACCTGGTTGGACTTATAATTGATGCTAAAAACATAAGAGCTGCATACACATTATAATTAAATTGACAGAATAAGACATAAGATATGTATGGTCTGTAAAATCAGGTACTCCAACCCCATGGCACCTTCATGGAAGAAGCATCTAACTTTCACCAACTTTTTTCCCATTTTTTCTCAAAAGCAGGTGAGATAGAGAAAGAGAATGAGTTTGTTGCTCATGAAGGGAAATCACACCCAAATCCCTTGAGGAATATTAACAGCATAAGCCTCAAGCATATGCTTTTGATCATTAGTTTATTCCATGTCCAGAGATTATAAATTGTAATGTTCATAGAACGATTGTTGTGTGCAACAGCACAAGTATCTTGGTCCCAGAAGATATTACAGTCCATAAGCAAACCAGTCATAGGGCTTCTCTTTCTTGGCAGGAAATGACATGACTACTTATGAAATATCTTGCCAAAGGAGAGTTGTCCTATTGCTGCTTTAGCTTTATATCTTCAATGCTATTCTATTTATGCATATGACCATTCACTCACTCCATTGAAGAGAAGCACTGAAGCAATATGCAAAGATCCAACAACTGACTCATCTTCTTCTTCTATTTTTAATTCTACAACTTTTTTAAGGGAAACAATAATGTACCAACAAAATTCAATATAGTTGGCAGATCCATGTGTTTCTTAAGCTTGTTGTTCACTGTTACAACACTTGGTAGGTAGAGAAAAAGCTTTCTTAGATTATCTCCGTAATTCAAACAGAAATTAATTTACGGAACTTAAGCCAATAAAACATATACATTGATAAATAACTTTAAACACAAAATGAAAAAAAAAAAAAAATAAACCAGAACAATTTTGAATTAATTATTAATTACCATTTGAACACTTCACATTAACATCAATGTATGTCATCAATGATTTGAAATTTTATCCCTTTTTCAAATAGAAGTTGTTTACGAGTTACAAAATTTGACTTAATATGTACATGAGTAGGTTGAAGTGGATCATTCATCTAATACATTTTATCACAATTATATTTTGTAAAGGAATGAACTTAGATATATGAACTGTCACCCAAATTGATCAGTTAAAGTTGATTTGAAATCATCTGCAAAATTAGACTAAGCAAGAAAAAAACTTAAATATCAGTAAAATAAAGAAAAATTGGGAAATCAAAATTTCCTCCAAATATGAAAGGTTTCGTGAGCCCATCAAGTTAACAAATCTTTCTCACCTCTGTGACCCTTTCTTTAATATTGAAAGTACAACACAACTTGTTGTCTTTGTGGACATAAATGCAAACTTTCTCATTTGATGTATTAAGCCTTTTACAGTATTATGATCTGGCTTTTGTTTCCAATGGTGTTTGCGTAACAAAATTTGAGTCATTTTTATAAAATATAATGCTTTGTAGTGTTCTTTTCTGAGTGACATGTGTATAAGACAAGAAATCATGCATGATAATATAAAAATAGTTGCGCGCCAAAATAATATTGTAGAAGTTCATAAAATTATTTAAACATAGAATATGTTTAAATTTAAGGAGCTGACATAAAAATAGAAGATAGAAAGTTGGTGAAGGAGGAAACATTGAAAGCAAAGAGAAATACAAAAGGAAGAATAAGACGTGACAGAAGAACATTGATATTAGTTTGTCTTCTCCACTTCTCTGATTCAAAGATAGTGTGACTGATCCTCTTGGATGGGTACGTATCAGAAATGTACAGTTCGTGAGTCTCCACCTCAGCAATGAACGAATGTCAACTGTGAAAGCAGCGTTGAGTTCATATTCATGGGATAAACCACAAGCATATGCCAATGTTTGATTCCTTCTTCTAACTTGTGAAGACAAAGTATTGATTTTAATTTAAGTAAAATGTTAATTCGGCTAATCCACATCTATGATTTTGATCCAAAATGTTTATAGGACCATTTTTTTTTTAAGTACCTAATATAATTAAGGGTGTTTGCTTCATGTGTTATTTATTCCAAAATTATATTAAACTTCATTTTACCTTTTCATTTATCTTCATCTTTGAAGTATATTTTGGATTAACATTTTTCAAAAACACATTTTAGAACATCTAATCCGAAATACATTTCTAAAAACTTATCCTAGACTGCGATTTTAAAAATGTTTTTCCAAAAATACATTCCAAAATACTCAAATTTGAATACATTTTTGGAAAAACTATTTCAGAAAAACATTTCAGAACACCCAATCTAGAATGCGTTATTTTAGAATACCTAATCTGAAATGTGTTTTTGGAAATACATTCTAGACTTAGTGTTTTGGAATACATTTCCATATTAACTTTTATAGGACAAAATTCTAGAACATTCAATCTAGAATACATTTTCAAATTGACATTTCTAGAAATATATTTTGGAACACTCAATCTGAAATGTATTTCTATATTGACTTTTCTGAAATTCAACCTTATTTTCACGATACTGTTTCGGATTAAGCAATTTGGGTCTGTTTGTACAGTTTAAGTGTAGGAACATGCAATTCATACATAATATTAATTATTACTTACCTTTAATGGTTAGAAAAGACCTTTAATAAAGGTGATAACACAAAAAAAATCAAATAATCAAAGGATGAAAGTACTGAAGGATGAAGATATAGAAATTGTACACAAATAGAAGAAGAAATGTTAAAGTAAGTTAGTTTGTTAATAATTTGTTAGGATTACTACCTAGAGTAGTAATCGTTCCATTTTTGTCACTATAACAAAACCATCAAATAGTTACCGAAATAGTAACCAACCCAAATCGGTCACTAATTTTTTAGAAATTTGAATTATTATTAGATTAAAATAATTGTCACTGACAGGATTCGAACCTAAGTACTTTAAAGTTAGAGACCGATACTCCAACCACTAAGCTACTAGAATTTTTTTTATAATAATTTATAAATAAATTATATTTATATACAAATAAAAATATATATCCGTGTAAATATATAAATATAAAATATATAAATACAAATACAAATATATTTATATATTTATATATTGGATGTGAGGGCGAGCTTGAGAGTGAAAGTGTGTGTCGAGTGGATTTTCAAAATTTGATGTCAAATTTGTGAGCGGATCTCTCTATATGGGTTTATAATTTAATGACAGAATATAATCTTTATAATTTATTTATATAATGATATAAAATATTTTTTTCTTTATTTATTTTTATTTTATTTTATTTTAAT